TGTTGGGATTTCACTGGGAAAATTCATCAAATTATTCACTAATTTAATTTTCTAAAAGGTTACTTGGTGTTATTTTGGGATAAACGGCCAATAGATACCTAATTACTTAAATAAAATATGATATCTTGAGTTATTGCACTACAGCAAAAGTATTTAAGGTTATAAATACATCTATGAAATATTTTGATATTTCACTTCTTCTTTCACGAAAGTACACAAGTACAAGTAAATAATACTTTAAGCAATGGCATTGGCATGATTCAGTGGATTTTAAATAATTTTTTTTCAAAAACTTTAAAAGTTTACATTTAGTGAAAAAAAATTTCAATTAATTTCCTTGAAAACATGTGATTAACGTTAAATAATATTAGTTTTCAAAAATTATTATTTATAATTTTTTCACTGCTACAACTTCCTATAATAGATATGTTTTTTTTTTCTAAAATTCTTTAGTTTCTAACTGTATATTATACGTATACCTTCTGACTAGTATTTCCGGAGATTCATTTTCGACCTGGGTAGGCATTTTTATTTTTTTATCCTTTATTCAATTATCGAATTATTTTAAAAGTTATATTTACCATTTGTTTCGTAACTGTTAATAATGTGAGATGATCAATTATTTAAAATAAACCGTATTAAACTTACTTTAGAGTAAGACGTATCTGAACATTGGGCATTTAAGCCCTGTAAAGTGACAACAATAAGACCTAGATGATATTAAAGACCACTTCATAATACAATGAGACATCGTGTTTAATCCAAATCGTTAGAGCCGTTTTTGGAATAATTGTAAAAATGTGTTTCACCGTTGATATAAAGTGGCACTTCCGGGCAGCCAATTTTAAGGAAAAAGTTGCTGTCACACCTAAGACATATAACTATCTTAAATAAGTAATATCAGTTCCTTACGATTTTTCGTTTTTGAGCTAGACTGCTAACACAAAACACACACACACACACACAGATAATTTTGTGGGACTTGGTTATTGGGACTCAGGAGACCTCAAAACATGCATTTTCGTTGAAAACTCCGATTCGAAAATTTTCACGATCTCAATACTTACCTTTACTATATATTTCATAAACACGTAAGTGAATGTAGAAAAAAAATTCTTGTTCAGGTGTGGAAGGCACCCGAATACTTCACCAAGTTTCAATATTCTTAGGAAGTAACCAGCCATCCTCTAATATCTTAGGTATATATATATAGGTATATAACCCGTAATATGTACGTATATATAATTTCTCGTCGCTTACGACGGATAGAGTTATTTTTGTAGTCGATTTTTTATTCAGTTAAGATATTTTTATTTCTTTATTAAAAATAAATTAAAAATGACAAGAGTTCTCAATTGAAGGAAAACGATGGAGTGGATTGGTGGAAGAAAGTGGCAGGATCCCTAGAGACCTCCCTAGAGGGCAAGCCGTGGCATGCTTTAGAATGCTCACAGGGCATGATTTCCTTCAAAAGCACCTCCACCGCATCGGTATAAAAGATAACCCGATATGCCCTCTATGTTCCTTAGATATGATGACAGGAGAACATCTTGATACATGCTCTTCCAGGACATAAGATGTTCCTTTAATGAAATGGACAACTCTTATGCTAGGAGAGCAAAATTGTATTGGACTGCAAGAGCACACATGGCTGATGAAGCAGGCGTTATTTAGGCGTACGAAAAAAAAAAATTCTTTGTTAAAGTTTATGTTTTGTGTGAAAGTTTACTAAAATGTTGTGTGATTGTTCATCATGTCCTATATTCATTTTTGTACTAACTATTTATTTATTTATTAACTACATAGTTAATTCGTGATTTTTTAAAAAACTTTTTGGAGTCTTAGCCACATCATCAGTTCAAACATTTTTTCCTCAATTGCTTCAAGTGGATTCCACATTCACAACCTCGTCATTTTTAAATCAATTTAAATATTATCATACAGAAAACCATTTCAATTACCACTTGATTGCCTCAGTTTGTGGCTAAAAAGTGACATAGTTGAAATCAAAATTCAGCCAATGAAGTGATAAGTGAAATGTTTTTGTTTGTAATAATGTGTAAATTGATTACAAAATGACGAGGATATAAAACATGAACGAACATAAAGCATTTTAGAAAAATACATAGGCTGATGATGGAGTTATGACCCCGAAACGTCCTTAAAAATGACGAATTAAATACATAGTTTATAAATATTTTAAAAAAACAAAGAAATTAATATATCTCTATTATTCATTATAAGTTATTTATATAGATATGTATTAATTAAGTTTAGAAAAATAGGTAATAAAAATAATATTGCTACTACGAAAAGTGCCGATTCTGGGGAAACAATGGACCTCTGTGCCAATGTTCTTCACCATTCAGCCAAATAGTATTGTTAAAGTTGATCTTAAATATCATTCTTTTGATAATTGGTGGTTGTTCGTCAGATATTCAGAGCGACTCGACAGATTTCGATAAAAAATAGCACTTACCTACCTAATCCATCTAATAACGATTCTTCAAGATTAAATCAGCTCTCTTTCGTTGGAATGGGGTAGTCATCAACCTAGAAAAGCGTTTGTCCAATTTGGATGAAACTTACAATTAGTACTCTAGTTTCTTATAGGATTAGTTGTAACGCTGCTCGTTATTGTGGGAATGAAAACAAATAATCACTACTATCTTGTTAATCTAACGGCATTTTTATGGTACTTGGTCCAAATATATTCTTTTTAATTGATAGTTAGATTTTGACTAAACTATCATTGTTTTAAATTTTTTTATTTTTTGTTTAAACTCAATGATGAGTCGCTCGATTAGTAACAAACAGTATAGAGTAGAGGCAATTAGTGTCGCCCAAATCAGGTCCAAGACCAAGACCGTTACAAGATTTGAGCTAACAAGACTGACCAGCGATTCTCTGGCGTCTTGCAGTTAATTCAAACTGAGACTTGAGCCGTATTGAGTATTCAATATCGATATTGATGATAGACGTTCTCTAGTGTCAATTTCAAAACCACGATCTCTTCCATCCAACAACAAAGTTGATAATTGTAGCACTAAAATTTATTATATTGATTATTATATTTTGGAATACAGTACTGCAGTTTAATATTTTAACCTAGCATTAAATCTACACAGAGATTTTTTTTCTTGTTGAATTGCTTATTTGAGCATAGTTCCATACATAATAGAAAAAAAAATATTAAGAGCAAGATAAAAGAAACTAAAAAACAAAAACAAAAACAAATCATGTTTCTATGATTAAAAGTTAAGCAAAAATAGTTAACAGGTCATTATTTTAAATTTAATTCTATTAATATCTAGTTAAACTTTAATATGCCTATAACATAAGATCAAAATGTAACTACTCTGTTGCATTATCCTAAGAAAATGCTCTTCTAAACTAACGTGTTTGATAAACAGCAATAGGCTAATAGGTAATTATAAGACTTGTGAGGCTCTTCCTGCAAGACCGCGACCAAGGACCAAGACTCGTCATAGTCTTGCATTTGAGCTAGACTAGAGGACATATTGTCCACAAGGTTTTTAAAAATACTAGATGGATGTGAACTCTTATAAATTCAGGATGGGATAAATTTCAAAGAAAAAAAGTTTAAAAGCCCCTTTGCTAGTTATCTATTGATATCAACCAATCTTTATTTGCTTTGAGGGAAGAACACTATACAAATGGAGTCTATCACAGAATAACAAAGTTATCTTATATATTATTTCTGAAATATATATCTCTTTTCTGGCTTTTTATTGTTGGTTTCGGCATCGAAACTTCGTGTTCGCTAAGCCTTTTATAATTATTTCCGGCTCTCAGGATTGATGGATTTTGACGAATGAGGTATCAATAGAAAGAGAATATCCCTTAGAATGCGGGAATTACAATTGATTCCTAATTTTATCCCAGGATTTAAATAAAAGAGAATGTAAAAGTGGGAGGTTTCAAATCATGCGGCACCATCGCATGATTTGAAACCTCCCACTTTTGTCTTAATGAAACGAGTACCTTATACACATAAATATTTCAAAGCTTAAATATGTTCTCTTCCAAAACATAAGAATAATTATCGAAGCCGGACTATTTGGTGCAGAATTATAGCGTTCTGAACATTTAGTATTTGTTGTAGTAGTACAGTATTTAATGTTCCAATTAGTAATTATTTTTTAAATTTCAAAACATTTTATTATTTTTAATTAATTAACTTATTAATTTGATTTTTATTTATATAAATGTATCTTCCTTTAATCACTTTTTTGGAATGTTTGTCAATGTGCTTCACTTATATTAGCTATTACTTCTAGATATTTGTTATTGAAGTTTGTCATTTTAAAAAATACACTTTCAATATTTTTTTAATAATAAAGTAACTGGACTAACTATTCCTCCATGAGAATTTGTCTGTAGCCGTCATCGGATTTTTAAAACAATGTATTGAAACTTTTGTTAATTTATGATAATCTAATGAAGGAAAAAGCTAATATTTAACTTATAAGTTTAAGGGAATGGTTAAACGATGTCAGATTGTAAATTATATCTATAAACTGATGGCTCACTAAATGTATGTATTAAACCTTAGCGTATAAAACATTATTGAATGGAAGTTGTGCTGAGTCCTTGATAAAATGAGGTACAAATATTAGGTTTGTGCGGAGTACTCACACGGGTCAGCTATTAGTTAATATATGCGTAATTAATGTTTCTCTCCAATACTGTTTTAAATAGTTACATTTTTTATATATGTTCCTTCCTTTATGTAAAGTTGTTAGCACCAGAACTATGTTTATTATTACTTTTGTTTCGAACAAGTTCCTGGACCCATCTCCTTCTCCACCTAACCTCTTCCTCTGCTAGGACCATCTGCCAGATTGGCTTTTGTAAACAGAATAAGCCACTGGTTGGGAAGGGCCCCCGAAGGTGAAAGAGCAGGTAAAAACAAAAAAGGCGGACGAGGGATATTAACAAGACAAGGGCCGGGCTAATTCGGTGGAAGGTCCCTCCCCCTAATTGCTCGTCCTCATAATTCTGCTGTCAGGATCGTAATTGGATATTAGGACTCCCGGGCTATCCTCTCTTGACGTCCTCTGATGAATTTTACATGACGACCGTCTCGGGTTGGGCTGGGCCCCTTCGAGCCCTGGTGGGGGTATCCTTTTAATTGATGCCTCTAATTGTAATGACCCCCTTCGCCGCCATTTCCATAATCTCATTAAGTGAAACCTTCTTCTCTGTCCTTTGAGCGCTTTTAATTGAATACGCCAATCATTGGAGGCGCAGTCTTGAGATCGTGCGCTCAGCTCGTGTGCGCCCTATCAGAACTCGCTTATGTAAATAGCTGTAAAAGACAACTTGGATGAAGTCTTAGTAAAACAGCCTGTACTCATCTGACCGTAAACTAATAAACTGGCTGTTCAATTGGGTATTTTAATTTTGGTTTTTGCATATTTTGGTGTACAATTTTAAAAATATTAATAAGTGAACTAAACAGTAGATTGTTGTAATTGTTGGAAACAGTAGAAATGATCAAGGTTGCAGCGAGAGCATACCTTAATCACGTGTGTTCTAATTAAAATGTATGATACAATTGTACAAAAGTTTTGTTATTGCAAACAGTTGAATTGTGCTTTGTGCTTGTAAAAATAATATTGTTAATAAAGTAATATCAGTGTTGGGTATTTGCTTTGTTCTTTTATTTTTGTGCGTGCGAGTAACAGTAATCATAAACAACATAATAATTTAAAATCCTAATAAAAAACAAAACAAACTACGATGAATTCTTCCTCTGCCCAAGTAAAGGAAATCATAAGAAAAATCGGGCTCGCCTTATGACATACTACATGAGGACATACATACATACATGGCATACAGGACATACATACATGAGGGCACTTCTCAGAATCTTGCTCTTGACCTGAAGTTTTGTATTCTGAATACAACTTACCACACCACAACAATACACTACGACAATAGGTGACTTAACTCCACTTATTATTTCTTTAAATTTCCCGTTTCAAACTTGGAGGACTCATTGTATTAAATCTTGGTCTGGTTTTGTTTTGAAATAGAAATAAGCTAACTCCAATACTAGATATAGAAAAAAAATTGAGAATAATCAAATCATATGAACCGTCTGGCCCAAGAATTTAGATAAGAAATAAATATTACTTCGATGTTGTTGTTGTTTTTATAAAATCGTGTATGCCCTTAATATTTTATTTAACTGAATTTACGAGTATTTTACATTGTCTTTACCGCAGATACCTCTGTCCGCCCCGATACCCTTCTTGCAACATTCGCTGATGATATCGCTATCCTTTCAACCAACTCAGATCCTAAAACAGCGTCCTTAAACCTAAAAATGCACCTGCAAGAAAGGACGCATTAAGGTAAACGAATCGAAATGCAAACACATTGCCTTCACCTTTGTCGTAAATCCTGTCCACCAGTTTATTTTAACACCATGCAACTTCCTTTCTCAGATACAGTCTTGACTTTCTCTTAGACATACGACTAACGTGGAACCCTCATACAAGACTTAAAAGACAGGAACTTAACCGACGATACGGCCAACTATACAGACTACTAAACAGAAAATCTAAATTTTCTATTGGAAACAAGTTACAGATCTACAAGACAATACTGAAACCTATTTGGACTTACGGACTATAACTGTGGGGAATAGCAAACTTTCTAACATCAAACGCATCCAATCCTTTCAGTTCAAAATCTTTCGAACAATCGTCGACGCTCCTTTCTATGTAACTAACAAAACCCTACACCATGATCTCAACATCCCATTTGTCTTAGACCTTATCCCATAAAAATTTCTCCAAATTTTATCAGAACCTCATGTATCATCCAAATCCTCTTGCAAATCCCTATTAAGTACCACCCATCCAAGCAGGGACAGGCATGCCTCAGATTTCACTCCTCTGATTGTAAATAGTGTATATAGGTATTTATGTGTTTTTTTATAATTTATTTTTCTTTAAGTTATTTTATTCTATTTATTTTATATACTTTTTTAGCTTTTGTTCATTTTATATTTTTTATAGATACTGTCTGAATGCTATCATATCTCTCTTTAACCAATGTCCATTTGACAGATTGTTATCAATTATCAATATTATTCGATAAATTAAAAAAAAAGAAGAGAATATTGGAAGAATAATATTAAACAATTTCGATACCTCCATTAATGACTATCTGCAAAAACCAACCTGACTTATGATCTTTAAAGATGAAGAGGAGTGTAATGAATAATTTATTTATTATTCTGGGAAAAAATCTCTGCGGCCGTACAGTTTTTATACTAAATGTGGATGCGTATTCATTGTAAATAAAAATTAGGTAAAAATATAATATAGAGATAGAGGCAATTTAAACAAAAATATTTTAATTAAAAACCAAACCCGGTTTCAGAGATCGAGAAATGCTCTATAATATTTGCTTACCTTCCTAAACCCCTTGGTAGATTGTGAGAGAAATTGACAATTACTTATAATTAAACTTGATGTTTTAATTGTGTTCCTTCCAGCTTCAAACTCAAGAGTTTCTGATGTTGACATTCTTACGACGAAATCAACTTGCCAGGAGCCGTAATGTGTAGTCGATGACAACTACACTCACTTTAAATATTCTTTGATTTCAATCAGTATTTTGAGCTCAAATCGTTTATAAAATTCAAGAAATCTCATTGTGTTATTTGAACCGTATGACTAAAAAATCTGTCGAGCCGTTCGCTCAGTAAGTCGTTAAATACTTTGTAACGGACTGACTTAATAAACTTTATACAATAAATTGTCAGTGTTTTGAGCCCAACTAGTTTCAAAACACTCATAAGATCTCACCGAATAAACTGAGCCATCGAATATAAAAATGGGTAATATAAAATATGTGCCCTTAATTGAGGCAAAACGTTTTTTTTTCTCAATAAAATAACTTTAAGATTAATATATATATATATATATATATATATATATATATATATATATATATATATATATATATATATATATTATATATATATATATATATATATATATATATATATATATATATATATATATATATATATATATATATATATTAAATATAAAAATATATGGCTAATATAAAAATTAAAGAAAACCACGAAATTTAAACAGTGGTTAGGAAGCGATTATGAACATCAGCCAGAGATTGAGCTTTTTAATGGTGTTGATTATAAGGTTTAAATTGATTAGAATATTTCTATTCTATTTTTACTGGCCCTTAATATCAGTAATGCGGCTGAGTGAGAGGCGCTGGGATATCCTAGGGTCCTTCCTTTCCTTCCACTGGCAGGGGAAAAGGTTTGGCTCGGAGATCATGAGTGAATGAGTTTTGTAAATATTGTATAAAAGCATGTGTGTACTTAAATAGTTATTTTAATTAGTATAGTTTATTTTTGTTTATATACGTTTAGTTTTAGTATTATTATTTTGGTATTTGATTTATTTTTATTTTTGTTCATAGAGTGTGAATGAGCTAATCTTTTATCTCTATTACTATTATCCTTGGATGTAACAGATTATAATATTTCTCAAAAACTATTTTTTTATTAGTATTATTGTTATTTTTTTTGTTGTTATTTCTTTGAAATGTGATTTTAAATTTATATTGACTTAATTAAGATTTTATTTGTGACGAATACATAATTTCCAATCGAAACTTATGCTCAATGAATTTTGTCCTCCTGCATCGGCCATGGGCCAAACTATGCGGCGGAGGATTATGTTTTTAGGTCGTCCGCTATGTAACGATTTTTCGAGCTCACGGTTGGACAGATTTTTATAGTCACATAAATCCTTAGGACCACCCTTATCATCACAGCTGAAGTCAGCACTCCAAAACTTGTATATATATCAGCCCTTCGGAGCATATGGCCCCAGTCAGCAGAGAGATACCCCACCGATTAACAGTGACACACACCGACTCCGACTTGACTTATAGTGTCTCTATTTAATAACCTAGTGCATTTAAGAACGAACATTGTTAATTGTAATCTTTCATACCAATAAAGTTTTTTTTGGGATTAGTGACGCGAGAATATTTATTTGTCGATGCCTCATATTTTGAATATAAGCTTATATTTTGAAAGTGCCCATGTTTTGTTTACTTTATTAATTATCGTGCTCATACCGTGGAGCGTCATTGAAGGCAAAAGTTCTTTAATGAAATTTGGCGAAATTATTTTGACAGACCTATTTCGGTTAAGGCATCGTCTCCGTGAAGGCAGCGCAATTACGTTTTTAAAAATAAAATAGCAAAATATGCCGATAATAAGTGTTATTTTCTTCCATATTCACAGTGAAATAGGAAAGACAATACTATTTATCAATCATAATTACTCACTGCTATTTAATTTGACTTTGTAGTATTGTTATTAATTGAATTATTTTTTACTAAAACAGGTTAAAAAATATCCTCAGGTGAGATTTGTTAATACAGAGGTCCAAAGGTGGTATTACTTTAAATATTGCCCATATTTTTCTTTCCTTGTTTTATCTATTTTTCGTATCTGTTTATTATTTTCATATCTCATGAAAACTACTTGATGTAAATTTTGTGCGTAAGCTGTTTTTGTAAATCCCTAGTCAATTCATTTTTCTTCAATAAATTTATTTTTCTCGAATATTGTTACTGCAATTACGAAGTTACTGCCTTGTTTGTTCTTGGGTAACAAAAGGAAGCTGTTTCTACCTGAGCGAACGTTCTTTGAAATTTACGAGTCCTGGGCCGGAGTTTGGTAGCCGTAGGCGTGGCTCACCATAACTCACTCACTAAACTTTATTGTTGCTCAGCATAATTTCACGACTGTTGTTGGCCCTTGCAAAAACCAGGGTTTTTTTCCTTACCGGTTGAACAGCTCCCATATTGGAGCCTCCTTTCTATATGTATGTAAATCAGGGCCTAATTGAGGGATCTAAATAGATTGGGCTTTAATATGACCCCATTAAAATTTTCCTTTATATTACACTAATTACGTTCTTTAAGGAAAAGTTAAGATTCTTATTATTTGTAGACGAACACTTACGGTCCTACGGTCAATAAAAAGTATGCAAATGAAGTCTTCCAAAAAAAAAACTATTTATTTACATAATTCATTTTATTTATTAAATAATTTAGTAACTAATAAACAAATTTTAATAACTCAAAGTCATGGATAACTTGCTCCCTCAACGAGCAC